ATGCAGATATACAGCAAGCCGACAGAAGTCCTCCTTTGTACATCCTAGTGAACGGAGAGGAACAACTCAGTTTGAGAACAGTTATGTGCTCACAGTAGAATCTCACACATAGTTGATGGGAAGGAGCTGTAACTTTTTTATAATTGTTCAAGATTAGATTGTTAATGACATCTCTTTTGGCAAGGTCAATTATTATAGCTGAGACAAGTTTAATAATACAATAGGCCATACATTTTATTTTTCCCAAGTTTTTTCAGGGTAATAAAGATAATAAGGAACTAGATTGGCAGCATTGCAGTTTAATTTTGTTACATGATACAGTAGCAGGAGAGGTTTTTATCTATAATTATTGACTATTTGTATGCCATAGTTTTTCATATGGGATCCTCCCATGCATAAATCGACCCGCTAGAGAAACAGGAAGAAAGTATATCAGTACTGCTTCTTGTCTGAAAAAGAGACAGAAAAAAGGGGAACATAAATGTGACAAATATTAAGATACAGCAATGTAATGGAAGAAACTTTGCAAAATGAAATTCAGCAAACACCTCGTACAAAACCAAAGATCTATGAAATGTGTTTTTAAAATATTATGTGATTTAATACTCTTTAAGTATGACATCGTCGTATGAGGTTGAAATAGACTTTTTCATTCCCCCAAACATTTTTCAGCTCTTGACAACTAGTTTCTTAATATCCTAGTTACTAAAAATGAACTAGGATATTTCCTCAGCAGTGCTCAGTACTGCTGTAAAATTTTTAGAAGGGGAAGGTAATATGTAGGGAACTCATACAGGAGACTGCTAGATACTTTTATAATTAGCATAATTAATCTTTACCACAACCTTATGAAGTAGCTACTGTCACCTCCATTTTATAGGGGAGGAAACAGGCTTAGCAGTCCAGCTAATCCATACCTTAGTAGGAGTGTCATTTTTCTTCAGAATAATTTTTTTTTTTTTTTTTTTTTTTGACAGAGTTTTGCTGTTGTCTGCCCAGGCTGGAGTGCAATGGCATGATCTCGGCTCTCTGCAACCTCTGCCTCCTGGGTTCAAGCAATTCTCCTGCCTCAGCCTCTTGAGTAGCTGGGATGACATGTGCTTGCCACCATGCCTGCTAATTTTTGTATTTTCAGTAGAGATGGGGTTTTACCATGTTGGCCAGGCTGGTCTGAACTCCTGATCTCAGGTGATCTGCCTGCCTCAGCTTCCCAAAATGCTGGGATTACAGGTGTCAACCACCATGCCTGGAAAGAGCGTTTTACTTGTATTATCTCATTTAATCTTTAATGGCAAATTTATACGTTTCTTTTTTACAGATGGCCACACTGAGGGTCAGATAAAGTAACTTGCCCAACATCAGATTTGAATAGTTTTAGGAATAGTAAGATCTGAGGGAGATGAATACTTACCTTGGAACTCTATAAGACACTCCAGACATTCTTAATGATGCCTTATTGGAGTATTTAACTTAATTGGAACTATCTAGTGACTGTTGAGAAGATGTGTGATCTGTAATATGGATGAATTGAAACAACAGGTTTGCCCAAACTAAAAATAATTGAATAAAACCCTGTTAAATACAGAAAGACTGCAACTTCAATTTAGTAATCTGATTCAATAAAGGATATATGTAAAATGTTTTTATTACAGTGTTATTTTTAATAGTTAATAATTGGAATTATTATCTTGCAAAGGAAGTGTTAAATTGATGTACCTACTTGATAGAACATTATATAGCCAACAAAATGATAAATATTAGCACTCTGATCACATGGAAAATACTGAACATGCTGAGGGCAAAAAACAATACAAACAAGTTGGCATCAGTTACAGTCATGTAAAAATTACGTGAATATTGATCAGAATTGGAGAAAATGAATAAATGAAAACTGAGTGGTGAGATTATGATGAACTTTTATGTAGAATGTTATTAGTTTTATAATGTTTGTGTAATAAAAAATCAATATGAGAAGATATATTCATAACAACAAAAATATTAACAGATCCAGTGGACTTTAAATAGATGGTATGTTATACTGTATTTAAAACATTTCCTTGGAAATAATTAAAATAATTTCTAAAATATTTTCTTTCAGCAAATTATTTTCTTGCAAAGGAAGCTAAAGTATGTACAAACTAATAATAGAATCTTGGACTTAGCAATGCAGAGAAGGATACAGATTGCTCCACTAGTTGAACCATTAGCAGTTGCTATGAGAAATCATCTCAAATGACATGGCATAAAAATGAATATATTCTGTTTTGTTAGAAATATGATCCTCATGATTGTATTAGGTTAAATCTGCAAACCATTGCAAACAAATTTGGGTAGTATTTTCTGTGGCCACTAGACAATTGGATTCTTAGTGAATCTTGTCGGATTTGATAAAGACTAATTCTTAATTGCTTAGGAATATCTAGTTGAGATTTGCAGTTTCTATTCTTATTCATTTTAATGGCACCTGGTTTTATGCAACTGTAAAAAACATGAGAACTTTATTCAGCTAAGTCTGTAATTTAAAAACCCTCATTCACCCAGAATTCATAGCTTGAACAGTATTTTCCCCTCAAGAGCTTTAGGATTGATTCTCCTTGTGATTTTGATCTCAACTGGTTGTAAGTTCGGTATGTTCATGGCCACAGGTTTTCTTCTTGTCCTTGTGTGCCTGTTTTGGACAGTACAGAAACACCACTGCTTCCCTCTAGTATTTGACGTTACTTTTTTAGGATATAAAATGCCATACATGTGATAGTGTGTTAATATTATAATCAAGAAAAATGTGTATTAAATGCCATGTGGTTAATGATGGCTATTCTTTCATGGCAGTGCTGGGAGAAGGACTGGCTAAGGGAGACGATGCCTTCCGGGCAGTGCTTTGCTGCATGCAGCTGAAAGGGAAGCTCCAACCTGTATCCACCATTCTTGCCAAGTCACTGACAGGAGAGTCCCTGGTATGTTGATAAACTCTAATTTTGAATGCCTGAAAACAAATTTTTATTTGATTTCTGAGGTATATTGTGGGGAAAAAAGTGTATTTTTTTTTTTCTCTTAGTTCTTCCTATCAGAAAGCAAAATTCATGAGGATCTTGAGACAAGGTCTCAATCTGTTGCCTAGGCTGAGTGAAGTGGTGTGATCACGGCTCACTGCAGCCTTAACCTCCTGGGCTCCAGCAATCCTCTTGCCTCAGCCTCCTGAGTAGCTGGGACTATAGATGTGCACCACCATCCCTGCTAATTTGTGATTTTTTTGTAGAAGCAAGGTCTTACCATGTTGCCCAGGCTGGTCTTGAACTCCTGGGCTCAAGTGATCCTCTCTTCTTGGCCTTCCAAAGTGCTGGGATTACAGGCATGCACCACCACGCTCTGCTAATTTTGTATTTGTAGTAGAGATGGGGTTTCTCGGTGTTGGTCAGGCTGATCTCAGATTCCCGACCTCGAGTGATCCACCCACCTCAGCCTCCTAAAGTGCTGGGATTACAGATGTGAGCCACTGCACCTGGCCAGCTTTGATTTTTTTTTAAGTGACAGGATCTTGCTGTGTTGTTGAGGCTGGAGTGCGGTGGCTAATCATGGGGTGATCATAGTGCACTACAGCTTTGAACTCTTCTGCTCAAGTGACCTTGTTTAAACCTCCTCAATAGCTAGGACAACAGGCCAGGCATGTGCCACGGTGCTCAGCACTCTATTTAATTTTTTGGCTTTTTTTGTTGAGATAGTTGAAAGGCTACTTTTTGAAACTTTGGAATTGATAATCTATAGAAAGTGGAACAAAAGATATATAATCTTTTTTTTTTTTTTAAACCAATTGGTAACTTATGAAACCTGTTGATAATTTTCTTTTTTTTTTTTTTTTTTAAATTTTTATTTTTATTTTTATTTATTTATTTATTTATTTATTTTTTGAGACGGAGTTTCGCTCTTGTTACCCAGGCTGGAGTGCAATGGCGTGATCTCGGCTCACCGCAACCTCCGCCTCCCGGGTTCAGGCAATTCTCCTGCCTTAGCCTCCCGAGCAGCTGGGACTACAGGCACGCGCCACCATGCCCAGCTAATTTTTTGTATTTTTAGTAGAGACGGGGTTTCACCATGTTGACCAGGATGGTTTCGATCTCTTGACCTCGTGATCCACCTGCCTCGGCCTCCCAAAGTGCTGGGATTACAGGCTTGAGCCACCGCGCCCGGCCTTTCAAGAATCATAATGAAAAACAATGTTGATAATTTTCAAGAATCACAATAAAAAACTTTGCTATGCTGTGTGAATTCCGTATATTTTACCTATTCTTCTGAATTGATATAGATGATACAATTATGGGGCAGATTTGTGTTTTTACTGCAAATATTAAATAAATAATTTGGTTTGAAAAAAGAAGGTAGGAGGCTGGCACAGTATCTCATGTCTGTAATCCCAGCACTTTGGGAGGCTGAGGGGGGTGGAACACCAGAGGTTGGAAGTTCGAGACCAGCCTGACCAACATGGAGAACAGCGTCTCTACTAAAAATACAAAATTAGCCGGGCACGGTGGCAAATGCTTGTAATCCCAACTTTTGAGGAGGCTGAGGCAGGAGTATCGCTTGAACCTGGGAGGCAGAGTTGTAGTGAGCCGAGGTCACGCCATTTCACTCCAGCCTGGGCAACAAGAGGGAAACTCTGTCTCAAAAAAAAAAAAAACCAAGAAGTTAGGAAAGTACTTGGTATATTGTTGAGTGTAATGTATTGGCCTATCTTGGGATATTTTCTAAGGAATTGTTGTGCAGTGAATTGTTTAATTATGTTTAAGTTGAGCAGTATCTTTTGATTTCACCAGCTTCAGAAATGAACTTAAAAGCTAAAATGTAGTAGCATAGAGGAATTATATAGCTATATAGTTCTAAATAGATGATAAAGGAATATATCTCTTTGTTATTAAGATGATTTTATCATTAAAGGGCTTTTCTGTATAAGCTTATTACAGTTTTACCTGTTTTAGTAAAAAGTAACTTGCTTTTAAATCTCAAACTAGTAAAAAGTAATTTGCTTTTAAATCTCAAATGAAATTGAGATTTCAGAAAAGTATTTTCCTTCAATAGTTGTATTAAAGAGACATTTTTAAAGTGATGTGAACAGCTTACATGAATCTTTCTGAATCATGGCTGAATTCACCATTTTGTACATATAAGCTTATTAGGGAAAAGGTTAAAAACAGTTATAGGTTATTTTCCTTTTCATTATGCTATCCTGCTTTACAGTGGTACTGTTGTTAAAATTTTCTTGACTTAATTTTAATTAAAGTAAGGTGAATACAGTGGTTTTACTTACCAGGAAAGGCACTCTGCATAGTTTTTTGGGTTTAACCTTTTTAACTTTCCTCATAGATGTGTTGCTTTGTTATTATGGTTAATGGTAGTAGTGATGAGGGATAAGATAACTTTTTTTTTTTTTTTTTTTTTTTTCACCGGGGCGTTCCTTAGTTTATTTGGGGCACACCCGGGCGAGGGCCCCACACCAAGATAACATTTTTTAAAAAAATAAACTTCAGAAACAACAGAGGAATTGAGCTAAGTTGCCATAGTAAAGAACTAATATGCAAATTGTTTTTCTCTTTTTTATTCACCCTTTCAGAATGGGATGGTAACAAAGGATTTGACAAGACTAAAAACACTTCTGTCAGAAACAGAGGTAAGACCATTTCAGTGGATCTGTTTGGTAGAGTTTTGACTCAATCTGGCTCGTAAGCATTATATATTAAAATTTGGAAAACCATTGTGGCATCAGCCAAGAAGGCAAGGCTGTGAAGGTGGCGTAGTGGGGCCTTCCATGTGGGGCCTTCTCTTGTAACCCCCTGTAACCCAAAGTCTTGTCTTTGGAACACTGCTTCTTCACACAGCTCCTCTGTGTGCCAGGCTTCTGTTCTCTGCCTAGTGAACAGAACTGATGTTTTATTAGCTATTTCTGGACAACAAATGGGAAGATGATTGGGGAATTTTAATTTTTAACTACTTCTGGCTACTAGAAAATGAAATGCCATCATTAAAAATGAGATACCCCTCAAGCCTTACTTATTTATTTATTTAAGATGGGGTCTCACTCTGTTTCCTAGGTTGGAGTGCAGTGGCGTGATCCTGGCTCACTGCAGCCTTGACCTCCCTCAGCTCAGGTGATCCTCCCACCTCAGCCTCTTGAGTACCTGGAACTACAGGTGCACTCCACCACCTGGCTAATTTTTTTATTTTTAATTTTTGGTAGAGGTGGAGTTTTGCCATATTGCCCAGGCTGGTCTCCTGGGCTCAAGTGATCTGTCTGCCTCTGCCTCTCAAAGCGCTGCAATTACAGGCATGAGCCAACATGCCAGGCCTTCCTTTTGTATTTTTTAAAGCAACTGACAGAAGTCTGTGCCTTAAGGACTGTCTTTAAGGAATGGTTTAGGAGATGGAAATAATGTGTATCAGGGTAAATAGTGAACAAAAAAGTGCTCCAGTGAAGGACTGGGAGGACACATGGAAGGCCAGGGACAACAGTGGCATGTAAAAGGCCCCTAGCTTTGTAAGTCTCAAGTTTCTTTTCTTCGTATAGGCATATAAAAGTATTTTTATTTTTAGATGTCCTATTTAAAAAAATAGCCATTTCATCAGCTTTTGTCATAAGTGGAAGCCCACATAAAGTGATTAATTGGCTTATTTACTCAAGAATTGAGCACTTCCTATGTGCTAGGTACTATGCTCATTGCTGGGGTACAGCACTGAACATGGTTCTTGTCCTCTTGGAAGTTAAAGTTTTAGGAAGGAGATAGGCAACAAATAAATGAATTAAACAACTGTAGGTATAATTCACAGAGAGGTAGGTGGTATGAGGGAAAAGAATAAACTCTTTTGCTGGAAAAATCACTGGATTCAGTGGCCAGGGACTGAGACAGTGAAGAGCTGAGAGTCAAGAAAGTGCTTGTCTCATGGAGAGAGGTGGAGGGCATTTCAGACAGACAGAGGGGATTGCAGAGACCCTGGTGTCATACTTGACCTCCTGTGGATTTCCTTTTTCATTCCAGATCTACATCCTGTTGCATGTAAGGCCACAAATATCACTTGACTCTTTTTGTGACTATACTTTTGGAAGAAGTGACTTAAGTTTTTGTAATTTTTTCTCTATCTAACTAGAGTAGTAGTCTTTTTGGTTAGTGAACTGATACTATTAAAAGATAACCATTTAGGAAAAGCTAGCAAATAATACTACCCTTATTTATTATTGCACATGACATTTAAAAATAACAACAATTTGTTATTTAAAGATTGGGCTTAGCTGGTATTTAACTTGTAAATGCTAATGGATGAGAATAAAGACCTGGAACTAATGGCTGATTTATAAAAACAAAAACAAGTATTCTTTAGTGAATATTCTTTAGTAAAATTGAACATATCTGATTAATAGATTAGATGCTGAATTTACAGTTCTAGCAATGTAGTCTTTGGCTGTTTTTCCTGAAGATGTCAGTAAAGATTGATGATAAACTGTAGCCTTTTAGTTTTGGAGTGTGAGCACATAAAGAGTGTTTAAAAAACAGACACAACACTTTTGGAACCTAAAAGCCAGGACACCTAAATACTTAGCCAGGCTGAGTGCCTTACTTTACCAGCTCTCCGCTGAGCATGTGCTGCTCCCCACATCCCCCCCGAGACTGAGAGCTGCAGTGTCAGCACAGGCCCACGCGGGTCCTTACTGATCCTCGCAGGCGCTGACTGTTGAAATGCACCGCGGGGTGTTTTCTCTAACAGTTATCAGTGTTTTAGACTTAACTTTATGGCCATAACATTTTAATAATGTTTACTAAACATCTTTATTCCCATGATTTTTCTTGCACATTTGGTAAATTTATTTTGATAGGTTTTAAAAAGGAGATACTTTAACATTTTCATACTTGCAGTGAATTTTTAGCTTATCTATTTATATATGTTATGTAAATAAAATCATTTTTAAGGGCTAGTTTGTGACAATGGCACACTAGACCTTGCTTGGAGAATTTAAAAAGATCTTTTAATGGTTTCTTTTTTTTCCAGCAGCCTAGAATGCTTATAATATGAATAATTCCTCCTGATTTATTTGTTAGTCTGTGTATTCTTTTATGCAGCCCTTCATTTTACAAAAAATAATGGGTTGCCTTTAAAAACTCCTTAGTAAGCGCTTGACTGATAATCAGAAGGCATTTTCCTGTGGAAACAGTATTACAGTGTTTAGTTCAAGCCCAACCTAAAAAGTACAATTTAATCAACCACATATAAATTATAGTGATAGTATTGTTTCATTTATACCCAGTTAGCATTCATGACATTCTTTCTATGGTACAAGATATTCCAAATTTCATCTTGGGATACTGTTTCCTTCTTCTGATCCAGTTTAACATTTACTGAGCACCTGTGCTATTCAAGGCTGTGGAAAGCAGAGATGTCTGTGAAAAACAATCTGGCAGGTCAGTCAGAGATGCACATAGCTAATGTGCACACAGGGCAGCCTGCGATCAGTAAGTGCTATCACAAAATACAGGCAGGGAAAGGGAAAAACTCTGCAGGTTAATCAGGGGGGCAAAAGTATGAGAACTGAGTTTAAAGGCTAGGGATAGCTAAGTGTATTAGTCTGTTTTCACGCTGCTAATAAAGACATACCTGAGACTGAGTAATTTATAAAAGAAAGAGGTAATGGACTCACAGTTCCATGTGGCTGGGGAGGCCTCACAATCATAGCGAAAGGTGAAAGGCACATCTGACATGACGGCAGACGAGAAGAATGAGAGCCAAGTGAAAGGGGTTTCCCCTTACAAAACCATTAGATATTATGAGACTTATTCACTATCACGAGAACGATATGGGGGAACCACTCCCATGATTCAGTTATCTCCCACTGTGCCCCTCTCACAACAGAAGGGAATTATGGGAGCTACACTTCAAGATGAGATTTGGGTGGGGACACAGCCAAACCATATTACTAAGTAAAAACCCAGAGGTGATTTGATACAGGGCAAGATTGGCAAGCTGTCAGCTGGTTCAGGGATAAATGAGACAAGCGGTAATGAGGGCTTTATCTGGGCCAGTGGTAGTGGGAGGAGAGACAGAGATAAGAGACGTTCTAGACCTGCTTAGACAAGATTTGGAGAATACTTGGGCTGGGTGTGGTGGCGCGTGCCTGTAATCCCAGCAGTTTGGGAGGCTGAAACAGGAGAATCACTTGAACCTGGGAGGCAGAGGTTGTGTGGTGAGTGGAGATCATGCCATTGCACCCCAGCCTGGGCAACAAGAGTGAAACTCCATCTCAAAAAAAAAAAAAAAG